TTTGATTTTTACTTTATTATAATTAGTTTTTTTTTCCTAGTCCCTTATTTGGATCCTCTATATTTGGATCCTCTATAAGTGAGACAATCGGTATTTTTCTTTTTCTTTCTGGCTTAACTCACTGAGCATGAGCCCTTCCAGCTCCATCCGTGTTGCTGCAAATGGCATGAGTTTATCTTTTTTGATTGCTGACTAATATTTCATTGTGTATATGTACCACATCTTCTTGATCCAGTCATCTACCCTTCTCTGTGAACTAGATCAGTAATCTGCAGTAGATATGTGGGGCAGGACACCCAAATGCTACCTATCTTTTCCCCTAGGGCACTCAAGAAATTTTACCTAGTAAAGAATCAAGGATCATATAGGAGCCAAGTATATTTTTCACAAACATCCAGTTTTATTTGTGGTTGCTTCTCAGTATGTAATTTCATGAATGTCTGGAGTTTGACATTTGGGGTCAAGTGATCAAACATTAGCAATGGAGTGACCAATTTATGCAACATTCTACTCCGGGAGTGGCAAGAGAATAGTAAGGCAAAGGGAAAGCAATTCTTCAACCAAATATGTGCTCAACCAACAACTGGAATTCTGTTTAATGCAAGATACTCTAACTCTGCTGGTCAGGGAGCCTTCCAATAAGGGGTTGATGTTGAGTTGAAAGATTAAGGCATATTCATATAAACAGATGACTGGCTGTTTCGAGGTGATTTATAGTCAGTAGCAAGTGATTCATATGAATATAATGACTAAGGGGTACAAGTGAACACTTTAAACTGGATGATCCAGAAGGCTTCCTGGAGAAGGTAAGCCATGTGCGAGCTGCTGTCAGTTGGACAGGATGTTGACTGGTGAAAGTAGAGGGAAAACACACAAAAAAATGGCATGAACAAGGTATCAAGTGAGGTCAGCACATTGTCACTTTGAAAAGAGGAAGCAGTCAGCTTGGCTGAAAAAGGAGATTGTTTTGGGGCCTCCCCTGGTGGTACAGGTGGTTGAGCGCAGTGCTGTAAAGCTGTCCGCAGCCTCTGCAGCACGAATTCAATCCCAGTCGGCAGGCGAGGGTCCCACATGGCGCGGCAGACCTCTTCTGTCGCGCCCGCTGCTCCCCTCAGCAGTGTATTTTGGTCGGTCTGCCTGTTCTGTTCCCAGCTCTGTCTCTGGTGAATCCTCTCACCCTCCCGCATCTGGCCTGTGCCCCGGTTCTTGTATGCATAAATAAATAAATCTTTTTTTAAAAATTATTTATTTATTTATTTGTTTGTTTGTTTGTTTGTTTGTTTGTTTGTTTATACAAGCACTGGGTATAGTCAGAAGCACGGGAGGGTGAGAGAATTCACCAGAGCGGGGAACAGAACAGGCAGACTGATGAAGAAATACACTGCTGAGGGGAGCAGCGGGTGGCAGGAGAGGTCTGTCACGCCATGTGGGACCCTCGCCTGGCGGCCGGGCATCGAACCGGCGCTGCAGATGCTGTGGGCAGCTTCGCAGCCCAGCGCTCAACCACTGCGCCACCAGGGGAGGCCCAATAAATAAATCTTTTTTAAAAAAGAAGAAGAAGATTGTTTTAGGGAGTAGCAGACAAGAAAGTTGAAAATAAGAAACTGCAGGATCTGCATTCAAAGTTCAAAGGGACTCTAGAGATAATCAAATCCAAGCTCTGTCCACCTTCTTCTCACATAAATATAGCCCCCCTAGTGTGCTACTGATGTTTAATATACTTTATGGTAATGAGTCCAGATTCTGACTATCTACAAACATAGTAACTCTGGCTTAGGGGCCAGAGTTGGAGACTTGGTTAAATGATTGGTTAAATGTTCATGCTTTGGTAACTCTATTCAACCTTTATTTCTTCACTTGTGAATGTGGATAATAGTAACCTCAATTACAATCGAGATAGGAAGAAAAGGAGAAAGAATGTACAAAGGAGACAGAAAAGGAAGAGGAATCTATTAAGTGTATTGCCAAAGAAGGCAAGAGTAGGGAATGCAGGGAAAGGGAGGTTAACAGCATCAAATGAAGCAAAGAGGTCAAGGTGGTTGAAACCTGCCAAAAGGCCACTGACTTTGACAATTTGGAGATCACTGTTGACCTTCAAGAAATCAATTTTAGTATAAAAGGAGAGAGACAGGGTATAGAAAATGTTGAGGTAGGAGGGATTGGAAAGAAAGAAAAAAAGAATGTGTAATGAGTAACTAGAGCTGCAAGCAAAGACCTATCCCTTATTTGTAATGAAAGGAGAGGCAGGTAGATCTTTGATTGAAAGGGCACACAGGGTTGAGTTTTGTAACAGCTAGACCTGTATCTCCACTTAGCACTGAAATGGGCAGCCACTGAAAGCACTTCCAACCCCAGCATTCCTCACTAAGATGTAGAGAACTGTGACAAAAGAAGAAGGAAGTCTCTACTCCCAAAATAACTTCCCTCTTCCTTTTGTCTGGTACTGCATAAAAGAAAATCATTATGAGGCAACCTGCCCATTTATAATCTATATCATAAGATTACCAGTTGCCCAATTCTAAGAGACTCCCTGTATAGTAACACCTCATTAATTTCAACTACACTAATTTGAAATTTGTGGTAATTTAACCTGGGCTGGTGTTACCTTTGTATTACTTATAAAGAAAGGGTTCACTAAGCAAATAGTGCGAAAAAGATTGCAAGAGAGATCATTAGCCTGCCAGGGGCCTATTTCACCTATTTTAAAGAACATACTGTTTTTTAAGAACGTCAGCATATTCATTATTTGAATGCAAATTGATTCTGCTAATTACAGATTAGCATAGTCTACCGCTAAAACCCTATATCTGCAACAGTTACTCTGCTCTTGCTGAATACGCTCATTGGAAGTAAAACTGCACTACTTTAGAGTTCACCATTCAGATGAATGCACATCCACTTTCCCACTCTCAAGGGTTAACAGCAGTTCATGAGGTGTTACTCAAAACCAGTACATCCTGATCATGAACACAGGGGAAAAACTAGTAGGTGACCAGCAAAGGTCTCAGAACAGCCCAAATAGATGTCTGAACTTTGATGCCCTAACTCTTGGAACCCTCTCCATAAGGGGTTCATGTGAAGCTGATTTAATTCATACTTAACATAATAATGTTAAACCAACATGGAGAAAGGGATGAGTTTTTTGTTTAAAGTTTGTAGCTGATTAGATGAAGGAAAAAAAGCTGCTATATGAAGAGATATTGAGCGAAACCAGAAGTGACCGTAGATTGCACAGGACAAAGTAAAACGTGGCTGGAACAACTGAAAAACCACCACTTAGAGTAGAGGCAAAGACCTATATTCCTTAGTAAACCATGAAAACCTGAAAAAGTAGCATGTCATAGTACAGCACAATAATTAATGATTGGAATTATGCCTGTAAGCAAGCAATGTCGAGATTATGTTGAGCATGCGCCTTAAAAGGCAGGTAAGTTCACATGCACTGGCACGGGTGCGCATGCACGCGCGCGCACACACACACACACACACACACACACACACAAGCCCCATTAGCATCCACAATGGCCAAGCTGAAATTGTGAAATGTGTTGATTCTTAAAAAGATGAAGTATATGATATGATCATATAATAATAATGATAACAAAATAATGACACCTTCGAAGTGACTGCTGTGTGCAGACAGCATATGAAGCACTTTACCTGCATCACTTCATTTAATTCTGTCACTCCCTAAGAGGTAGATTTTAGTATCACTCTCCTTTACAGTAGAAACTCAGAGGTGAAACTCAGAGGGGGAAGCAACCAACCTCAGGCCACAGAGGGAGACAGATGCCATTACAACTCAGGCTGGTTCTTTGGCTATACTTTCCAGTGTTCCAGAAAATCCAGTTTTGAGAATCACTCTTTTTTGGAGGGTCCAGATAGCTAATATTTTACTGTATTTTTGTTTTCCAAAGTTTTCTTTACCAAATATCTTGATTTATAAGCAGAAAAATTAATAACTTAAAATCAGTTATGGTGGAGGATTATGGGGCTTTGGTGGTGGGCTGGTGTCATAACACATTTGTATGGGGTGAACCTATACCCCTAAAACACAGACAGCATTGTAAATCGCCACAACAAACATAATTTAAAAGATAAAAACTAAAAGTGAAATAGGATATGATATGTTTATAAACATATAATCAGAATATAAAAGTGATAGTAAAAATCAGAACAAAAAAAGTACCAAAATTTCGGGCAAGACTCTATATACAATAGTTACTATTTCCAAATAAATAGCCAAGCAACAAAGAGATGTTTTGAAGAAAATTTAAAATAAAAATGATCAATTAAGACCTGGTTATCCTACGTTTCCCCACTCATTTTGGAGAAATTTAGCATGAGATTAGACCAATGGAGCATAAGGGATACAGGGGACTTGAGGGGAGACTACAAAGCCAGCTGGCTATGATAGAGGATTTAAGAAAATGTGTTCTTCACACACACACACACACACAGGCATCGTGTGCCCTGGGGGAAACAGGTGGGGTGGTGAGATGTAAATATATGCAGTTATCTGCATCAGAAGCGCGCCCAAGGGTGGACTATCACGTGCACACACAAAGGAAAATGTACAGTGAAACCATTCACTCATGCAACTCCTTCCACATAAATCAATGGTCTTTACTCATCTTTTGTCTCAAGCCCACCCGTTCAAGAGCCAACTACAAATGTACTTCCACTGTGAAGTGCTCCACGATGCCCAAGGTTGAAGGAAACGCTTCCCCCATTTATACTCCCATAGACATTTTTTTTCCTTTTAAAGCATTTACCACAGCATTAGTGATATGCTATTTTATGCTACTTTATTATTAAAACTATTCCTGTATGTGCTTTACTCTCCCCCTCAATATCATCGTGAGCTCCTTGAAGTCAGGGGACTCTTTCATTTCTGTAGTTCCTACAAATCCTAGCACAGTGCCTGCCACATACAAGGCTCGAGGGAAATGCTGGCTCAGTCGCACTGGCTTAAGAGAGTGCATTAACGCCTAGCTTACCTGCAGGAGCATTTGTTCTCTTTCTTTTCTTGCTTGACTCCCCTCCATTTTCACTGAGGCCTTCTGTGACCAAAGGGCCACTGGCACTACCAAATTGCAGGGGCTCGTTGTTGTTGGCAGGGTCAAAGGGCAGCTGGTTCAATCCTAAAGAAGAAAAAGAAAGCCAAAGTCCAGACTCCATTAAGGACTGGGATGTCTCCAGATTTTATCTGAGCCAGAGGAAAACTCTTTAAATCTTCAAAGTCTAGGACTAATACATGAATTGCTTAAAGCCAGTTGCCCTCTGTAATATTTACAGATCTTGTTGAAAAATACAGAATTGAAATATAGGCCCTTAAAAGGTTGTGACGCTGTCATTTGCAAGATCCCCCCTGCGACTGGGAAATTAATATTTTGGTCATAAGCTATCAATTGTCTTCTATTCTTCCCTTAAAGAGATAGGATCCTCTTTGAACATGGCTATGACTGGACTCAATCTGCCTTTGAAAATGCTGGCCATATATTCCTTAGGTTTTCTCCTGACATTTTCCCATCCTTTCACTATAAGGTTTGTTTCATTGATGCAGATATAATCATTGTACTATCCTGGTGCCACAGTCACTTTGGTTGATAATATAGAGGATTCTAGAAAAGAAAACTATAGGTCCACATCAAATGAGGAAAGAGGACAAAGACACAGAAACTGCAAGGGGGTTATTTATTTATTTATGTTATTTCGTCTGTTTACCTTAAAGCAAAACAAACCCTAAAAAATCTGACTGCAGAATTAAGGCTACCAGAGGGGGAGGGAGAGAGAGGAGGGTAGAGTGTTGTGGGAGCCCACTGAACTATTGCAGAGGACTGTGGGTGCCATGGTGTGGTGACATCCATGTGAAGAAGTGTGATTCTACACCTCTGAGTCATACACAGTGTTTTAAAAGTTAGCTCAATTAAAAAAATAATAAAAAGGGGGTGTTATTTAGTAGGTAGAGTGATGGGGGTTAAGGCCCAGGTTTGGGTAGTGCTAATCCTTTCCTCTTCAAATGATTTCAGAAACATGGTCACTTTACTAGTCACTGCTCCACCAAATAAAATGGCTAAAGGCATTTTCTACTCTCCAAGTCTTACACAGGTCAGTCAGGGACCAGCAGAGATGGTTTCTTAACTCCTCAGCAGCACCTGGGATTTCAAGTGTTTCAATTAAAACTTCATGAAATGTGGAATCAGAAGGTTTGTTAAAGTCCAAAGTTAGGTGACTCGCCTAAGCCTTTTATCTACTGGTTCTCTAATCCTATCAAAAGAGAAATCAGGTTGGCCTCTCAGGGCTCATTCTTTAACCCTCAATTTTTCCAGGGCTTGCAGCTATAGAATTCTTGAGGCAGTGTTTTGAGATGTCAATAAAAGGCTTGGAATCCAGTCAGCTAAAGGTCAATCAAGTTTCAGTACAATGCATGCTAAGGCTCTAACAAAATGACGTTTTACAATATTGTTTTTAATAAAAAGCATCCCTAAGCTAATGTTTTCAGCCTGCATAACTAGTGCCATTTCTTCAGCAATCAGACTCCATTTGGAACACTTCCATTAAATGTCTTCTGGGACTTGTCAAACATTCCTTCCTTGCATCAACTGAGTAGCTAAGTGAAAGGATGAAAACTTGCTTGTGTATATTGAGTCCACCACTCACTGCATCATTATGCATGTCCTATTAAATCCGTGTCATGACTAGAACTAAAGATACGAACACCCAGTGCAGTGTATTAGGAAATATGCAGGTCATGACCAAGATGATTTTCACAGACTAGATTTGCATATCATTTTCAAAGGAAGACCGTTCTGGCACTTGAATGCTCCCAGAGAGTCAAATATTAGTACACTACCCAAAACTTTCTTGGCATTTCTTTCTGCAGTTTCATACTGCTCAAAATGAGTTCCATGGGAGATAGAATGGTATGATGGAAGCAGTAGTGCTTCTGAGCCTGACAGATTAGGACTCAAATATTGGTTCCCTGTCCTTTACTTTAGGTGAGTAGCTTTGGGTAATTCATGTAATCTCCCCTAATCTTACTTTCATCATGTGTAAAGGGGAATGATAACATTTCACAAGGTTGTTGCAAAGGTAAGCAAATATATAAAATTATGATTATCTTATTAATTTAAGTGAATCATAAGTCATGTATAGTGCTACAAACTAATGACATCACAATATTTTTATATAAATAAATAAAAAGAATATTCATTGGCATGGAAAAATAATCACTATAGTGCAAACTTCAAGAGCAGGTTATAAATGAGCATATGTACTATTACTCTGTTTAAATATGTATGTGTACAAACATACAGTCTTAGAATAAATAAGAGATTAGATTGGAATAGAAAAAAATTAAACAAAAAACACAACCTAACTTTCCCCCCCGCAAGTTTGTAAGTTTTTCTAAGGAGGATCTCATCTTTTTCTCCCTCTCCCTTTCTCTTCTCCCTTTTGCTTCAGCTGCTTCCTCCTTCTCCCTCAGCCTCTGACTATTCCTGTCCCTCTCTCTCTCCCTCTCCCTGTCTTCCCCTGCTCTGTTCTACAACTATATCCCCTGTACCCATCACCATGTTTGATGCCTGGAACAGAGTGGGCCTTGGTTGAATGAATAAATTAATACTCAATAGGGTAGGAGTATGTGACTCATTCTAGGAACTTACTCACTTAGAGTAAAAACTTGACAGATGATAATGAAGAGCTAATGCCACAACTTAAAAGTTCTGATGCTGATTATATCAACATTTCTTAGAATAATCAAGTTTTAAATGCATTTCCATAATTTGAGTACTATAGTGCAAGATGGTGAAATCTTGATCAAATGGAATGCTCAGGGATTTAGGAGGTTCTGATTAACGATGGTTAATCAGAAAAAAATGTACTTATTTTGTTTTGCACTTGGTAATTTTACAGAATAATATGTTAGTCCACATCACTGCCTTTTAAAGTAGAAGATTGGATTTTACAGAGCTCCTGATCTATAAAAGGAGACTGATAAGAGCACCTAACTCACTGGACTGTGAAAAAAATTAAATGAGATGATGTACGTAGAACACACTGCATCACATCTGGCATAGAGCAGATGCTCAATAAATATTAACTGCTACTATTATAACTTTGGGTTTCTATTTTTAATTTCTGAATTGTTAATGTACAACGCGAGGAGACTGGTCTGAATTTGCCCTGATCCATGAATATACCTTGCTTTCCCCATTGAACCTTTTCATTGCTATTTATACCTTCTTCTAAAAGTTGAAGGAGTTTAGGGGGAAAAATCTGATGAACTAAAGGCATTTAGTAATAGACATTTGACTATAATTGAGCTTGCCTTTTGTTTAGTCCCAGATAACTTCAGGGATTTAGGTATTTTGTTCTTCACACTAATGTACAGATTTCTGTTTGGCACTGAATTAAGAGTGAGATTTGAGTACTTTCTATGTAGCCTCCTCATATATGATCAACATATGTGAAAATCCTGATAATTCAGGGCACCATCTCACGCCTTCTTTCTTATAGGGAAAGATCTCCTATCAACAAGAGAGATATCACGCTGTGTAAGCTGATTCACTGAATACAAATCCACATTTTATATTATATCCAGGACACAATGCAGTCTCTAAAGATTTGTGGTTTGAAAGCAAGGGTTATAGAAATAGCAAAATCCTAAGACACAGTGGTGATGCCTAGCTACTTTTATTGTATTGTTTTATTCCTACTGTTAGCCAGCAGTAAATAAGCCAATAAATCAATAAATACTTATAGGATCTTTTTCTGTGTCATGTATTTGTGATCCATGCCTGATGTTATTTTAAGTAAAACAGCCCTATTTAAACAATTTCAATGTTAAAAAGAAATCCCCACACCTTTAAATTCAATAATTCTTGTTGCTGAAATTTCAATTATGACTTAAGTATAAACCATGAGCAATTACTGTATTGTAATTCTCACCCAAACTGCAGAATTTATTTTTAAATCCCTTATGGAAGCATTTTCTACCAACTTTCAACTGGACATGATGAAACTGGGGAATATTAAATTAGGAATAATCTTTTGAAGCTATCCTAGTTCATTCTTCTTTGCAGTTTAGGACCTCATCTATAGAATTCCTGACCTAAATCTGGAGAGTGGGAGCTCTTCTTAGTCTGGGGACCATTCCTATTTATGCTCCCGGGGATTCGGCTGACCTTCCTTACCTTTTCAAAAACTACCACTTATTCTATTAGGGTTCCTTTTATGTCCCCCAAACAAAACAAGATGCATTTTGTTTAATCGTCAACTTTCTTATTGTCCCTAAAATGAGCCTACATGAGAAATCTAACTTTGGAAGGGTTCTACTGACAATCACTGTAAGAAAACAAATGAGGGAGTCACAGATAACTAATGGAGCAAAATTAGAAATTTCCCGAAGTCATATATTTCCCGTAGTCCTTGCCCTTTCATTCCGGAGGATAAATTTAATAAAACTTGAACTTTGCTCATTCATTCCTCCTCACATCTCGTCTGCTCACCGCCTAACCCCACAAAATGAACAGCTTGTTAATGGAAAGCACAAATTGATAAAATAAAAGGAAATAGGTACTAGACCTTAATGAGAGATTTCTGCTATCTCTGTGTCTTATATTCACAATTTAGAACATCCGCATGGCAATGGAATCTCATCTAAAATCGGGTCAACTTGTTTAGACAGCTGACCAGCTTTTATTTTGTGTTGTGTCAAAATATAGATAATCTGACTCCCTATCACACATGAGGCCCCTTTAGAAAGTATGCATGCAGGCGAAGGGTGGGGGTGGTGTCGTTGGAGAATGACATTTCTTATCCAATGGAACCGGGAGATCAAGCATCTCAGGATGAAGTGTGGATCCTAGTGAATCTTCCGGTCTGCAGGTCAGGGCTTTCTATGCAATGATGTCTGCCACACAGATGCAAATGGTTCCTGGGCTTTGAGGAAAACACTGAAGAATTTTCATGATGCTTGTGAAAGAAGATCAATGATCTCTTTGTGCTCAACTGCTGTAGTAGTTACGGTCACAATTCACTTTACAGAGCTTTCCACTATCAGGTCAAATAAGGACTAACCTTCATGATGCAATCTAACACTTTTAATGATTGCTCCAGGATAAAGGACCAAAAGGTGACC